CGTGCATGTTATTGGGCCCCGAACAGTGCTGATTTTACACTGTTTTCAATGGGGCTTGAATTAGTGGACTATACCCTATAAGGGCAGCCTGCGAACTTGACGGTCTGCCTTCTACATGTGTCCAGTCTTTGCGCGGAGATTATAAATGTTCATCCTCTTGCTGTATGTTTTGAGAAAGATATTCATTTTACGACACATACTTTTCACTGTCGGTTTCTTTTTCTGGTGAGATGATAGAATCCGCGCCCTCCAAGGCTAATATTCAATTGATTTTGACTGCTGATAATTTGATTTGATGACAAAAATGATGAAGGAGGTTATCAGAGCTACCTTAGGATCGAATTCAAGTAAAACGAACGAGTTGGTATTTGAGCTTTACTGTGCATATTACGTAAAATTATGTATTCTATAAAAACGAAAAAAATGAAAAAAAATTACAGTTCGTGGCACAAATGCATGGGCTTCAACTAAAATGCTACATTACATTCCTGAGTAAACATATTCTGATTCCACCGATTATGAATGATATTAGGTGCCGTAATCAGGACCAATTGAAGTACTTTTCGAAATCCAGCATTAGCAACTTGCATAAGCCACACCGTTAAGTTGCCTGCAGGACGCCCTCGTTTGAGCCCTTTCCAACGCGCGCGTGGCCATAGCGAACGCTTTCCTTCCTACAAATGAACTCGTAGAATTTATCACTTGAATAGACCGACTGCTATCACTTTTCGGGGGTGAATTTGTTTTTATGTTGTAATGACTCAACTCGACTCAAGTCCCGGCGGGTAAATGACTCAGTCATCTCGAGTCTCTGTGACCACATGACTCGACTCAACTGGAATCTCTCATGGAGACTCAACTCGAGTACAAGCTAATAAGACTCGAATCTCAAAAAAATGAAAAGCAAAGTTTTGTTGAAAAAGAATATTTCAAATTGACTCACGCCGCTGTTCTTATATCGATCGTATTTACTGTATTTTGTTCAAAATTTGTGACTCAAATTGACTCGAGCTCAGTACTTGACTCGACTACACAGAGTGCTTGATTCAATTTCTTGACCAAATGACTCGACTCGAGTCACAATGTTAAAATGACTCGACTTGAGTCACCGAATGGAGTGTTTTGTTACAACACTGGAAAAATGTAGGCTAACCCACCGAAAAATTGGGGGGGGGGAGCAAAATTAATACTGATTTGATGTTTGCTTGAGAAAATGAGGACTTTGCATAAAACTGAGCCATGCACCTTGTGGATTTTTACACTGTTTTCAAATGGATTTGAATTTGTGCACAGCACTCAGAACCTGCACATTGAAGTTGGCATCGCCTTACACCCGTGCTGGCAGTCCTTTCTCACGCGAGTCTTCTGTGTCCCTGAAAAACACCGCAAGTTTTCTCAGGCATAAAGCAGCTTCTTGTTTTTCACTTAAAATTCCCGATTGGGACCGCTACGATATTTTTCTTCAACTTTACAAGTGTTACTCATCTCAATTTTTAAAAACTACCCCGTCCCTCCCCCAAATACCCCTCAAAAATACGCTCAGGTTTGAATTTGGTTTGAATAAAGTCGACCTGCCGCCTCCATGCAAAATAGGTCTATGATAGGATTGTGAACGATTATCAGCAAATCATAATTGGAAACAACTTGAAATTGATATGCTCGTAAATGGCCATACCAGCTGTTTTTCAAATTAACATGAAAAAGACTTTTTTGCTGTTGAATTTTGGTTTCTTGTTAGTGCGAAAAACGGTTTTTCTTCCTTTCCGTTGATGTCACGGGATGCCAGTGACCCCGATCATCACCTGCCTGGCTGCCAGGGGCACAATCTTCTGTAGAGGCGCAGCATCGGGAGGTTTTGCGCTCACCGCGTCACACCGTCGACCGCTGACGCGGCGTCATGGTCGGACTTGATGCCGTACAGGACTATTGTGAACGCACACTTGCAGTGCAATAACTTGGGATGTGATGTTTACCGTACTGCATCAGAGCATAACTCGCTCTATGGTCAGACCAACAGCAGCAAGTGATCCGACCATCTGTTCCTTGCTCTATGATGCGACAAAATACTTTCAGGCAGCCCATGATGGAACCATCCTTATCGAAGTGAACAAATTGTTGCCCTGCAAGTCACGGTGAGTATATTTCTGGCAGTTACTTGACGTGAACTTTGGCTAAAGACACCCGGCCCTTCTTACTTCCATCTTTTCCTACCTCCATGTTCCAATCGGCAAGAGTTGATCCTTGATTTGATGTATTGCGGAAGTTGGATGGTATGACTGCGGTTGGACTCACAATGTGCTGTGTCAAATGGACTCTCTGGGTCGGGACGCGGTACAGACTTGTTCTACGATCGCGGGCATGGGAGCTCACGTTGCGGAGAACGGCAGCAGTCGCCCTCGAAGGCCTGCTCACCTTGTACCCCCCTCAATTGTCAGGCAACAGTTCGAACCGGTTTGCTCACTCACTTTTTTGTGATGATAGGATCGTAACGTTTCCGTTTTTCATTTATGTGGTATATATTTTTCCTGAACCAAAACGCATCCTGTCCTAGAAAGGATAATTCATGGAATCTTGGAAGGGGTTTTGGAAGAATGGGAGAACACCCTATTCTTCATGCACTTCTGGCTCCGAATTGCCGTGTGTACAGACATGACTCATTTTTCCCTGCAGTGGTTTGTTAGCCACTAGAAAGTGATAACATGTCCTCAGAGCAAAATTTTGCAGGGAAAACCAAGTGAGCAATTACTGTGAAAACATGTCAATTTTCCAGGCCAGTCTCATTAGGTTTGTGCATGGGATATCAAGTGATGTCTGTGTTATTTGAAGTGCCCTTATGGGCATGGACGGCGCCAGTATTTTTTCCGGGGAAGGGGGGGGGAACTCACATACTGCACATACTTATGGAAGTGGCTATGTTACTGAATTCTTATGGAACTCTGCTCAATTGTACGTGCTGAAATCACTCTGAATTCTCTTGTTCATCATTCCTCGGTCATTTTGGGGAAACAACTGTTGGAAATTTTACACAGAAAGGCAGCCATCTGGAACTGAATTCGAACGTATGTACTGAGCACTCCTGTAATGTACATGTATATATAGACAGTGTTCAGACACATACAAACGTACATGTACAGTATGTGGGAAAAATGTAACTTATAAGAGATGGGAAGAGGACTCCATGTGACAGATTAGAATGTTTGTTTGGGGAGGGGTACCTGTAGGAGGAGGATCATGGGGACAAGGTACATGTATGTAGAAAGTGGATGAAATGCTGGATAAGGTTGGTGTAATGGTTGGGCTGGATAAGTGGGATGTTGGGACAGCCAGAGTAGGAAGTGAAGGAATAATGGAGAGGGGGTGGCGTAGGAGATGGACAGGATAATGGGGAGGGAGCAGAGTAGGAAATGGAGGGGATGATGGGGAGGGGTGGAGTAAGAGATGGATAGGATGATGGGG